AATCCCTCCTCTAGCTCACTGTGGCCCGTTATTTATACTTTCTCAGAGCAAGGGCTGCAAATGCCACTAAGGAAAATGACAGATGCTGCAATCTTAAGGAAATGAACCATTTCTTGATTGCTTGCTTAGCTGAGCAATTTGCAATGTGATAGACAGCAATTATACCATACAGTGTAAATTTGTCTATTCACTTCGCCCTCTCCACATGTTTCCTCTTCTTGATTGAATAATCACTAACAATAATCACAAGCAGCTGTAGGAAGGAAGCATATCCATCAGTTTTAATGTCAGCAAGAATGAGAACTGAGTCCTCCAATATTCACCACCGTTCTGCATCTTCAAAGCAATTTACATGTTCCGTATAGCAGTGCAGCCTGCTAATAACAAGATCATACTGTTTCTATCACCTATTTCTGTTTTGGTTCATAATCTGGAACAACAGAATAATATCCAATTTCCAAAAAATATATGGTTGTTCCATCTACTATTCTGTATCCCCACAAATGCTTTTGAAATTATGTTTTAATTCCCCTGACGCTGAGAATATTGATGGAAGTGTAAGCTTCTAACATTGCGGCTAGATAAAATAAATCAGAAACACGGAAGCCGGATTTACTCTGCGTTATCCCTCTAAGGTACTCAACCCGTAAACCAGCCTACGCCGTTAACCCGTTATTTGCCTACCATTGTGTTAAAAATTGCTCATACATTTGCCACACAGCTGGCTCCGTGTCCGAGTCACTGTAAAGAGGTGCTGTAAGGAAGCAACCCTTGTCAGGCACGCCAAGGTAATCTTGCAGGCTAGCCCACGCTATTTTAATTCATAGCATTACGTGGCTTGGAGGCCCTTTAATGCAGATAGCTGAATTGCAAATTTCCAGAACTGATTTAACCTGAGGAGCCTCGCTCGAACCAGGCAATATCTAGGAGCAGGGATAAGTGTATTGTCCATGCAAAGAGAGGCAGTAAGGCAAAGTTTATTCTGCATGATTGAAAGTCTCTGTGATCTGTGAAGTGGGTGCCCTCAAGAAAAAGTTCGAAGCTAATTGAATCCCCAGTCCAGGACAAGGATGAGATCAAGCCTTCCAGGACACCAATATAATAGACATCGTTCTGGGTGTGCATGTTTCCAGCTTGTGCCAATTTTGAAGGATAACGCAAAATTCCCCCCTTCTTTGCACAACTGTCCTTACTAACAGCAGCTGTAACAGCTTGAAGAAGTTTTTTTGGTACAAGGACAGCTGCCAGGAGCTAATCCCGTGCGGGAACGTGAACTGGAACAAGATAGAGGTGAGGAAAATGTTATTTTTGCACACAGAAATGATGTTCGTCGTTACTTCGCATAAAGGGCCTAGACAGTAAGGACAGAGCTGTTAGGAATGCATTGTTAGGCCAAAAAAAGTGGATTGCAATGGTTGCCTGTGTACAGATTGCTAGCTCTCACAATAAATTACCTTACTTTGTCCATATGTGCTGTAGACTACAACCCAGAATCTAACATTCAAGGTCCAGCGATCAAAATACTAAATTCTCAACTGATGATATAACTTTACAGCGGTAGTCTCTAGTTATATGGACCAGTTTTGATCCGCTGAGCTTCGAGGGCTCTCACAGAACAGCAGCAGATAAAAAATAAGTTTGGAGGCACAAAAGGTGGCTCAGAGCTTGCCTGTCAAATAAAACTGTTTGAGTGGTTTATTCAATAGAATTAAATCGTCTTTCAAACACAGTGACACAGACAAAAAAAATACCCTGATTACTGTTTTAGTTATGGCTTACATCAATTGTTAGGCTTTCTATTACAACCATAATACAGCTAGAGAAACAGTTAGCAAAAATTACAGGGCGGAAGATTTAAACAAAAAGGTGAGCCAATGGACAAGAGGGCATTAATAGCAGCACGAAACTAGAGTGACTCTGCTTGGATTTCTCCTCCACCGCCATCACCACCATACAGAAACAATGAAAATGAAACACACTCTATTTTTGCAGTAACCCAGGCTCCATTAGCACAAAAACACATAGGTTTTCTCCAGCATTTGCAAACTGAAAATTTGTTTTCCTCCAGGTGAAAATGGGGGACATATTCAACAGAAGGCCTCTGCTGAACATGGCATAGTCTACGTAGGCTGAACACAGATGTCTGATCAGAGACCTCGTGGTTTACAACAAGGAGGACCCAGAAATGAGGCAAAAATCAGCATGTCCTGTCCTAGAGAGAGCAGGTACAGTAAGTTTTCCACATCAGTGAAGAGACAGGCTCTAGTGTCACACATGAATAAGTGTGTATCACCTTGGCAACACAAGGTGGTACAACAGATAGGGATTAATTTAATTCTGCTTGCTCCTAACCACTACAACAGGTAATAATCATAGTCTTCCTAAGCTGTATGGAGCAATGGCGATACCTTAGTGTCTTGGTGCATCTCAAGTGCAGACAGTTTCAGCTAGAATAGACATTTTTAGATCTAGCCAACATGGTATCTGATTTTGATGGGTTAATTTGTTACCGTTCTACATGCTAACACATTTTACAGTGATTGGTACAGTTAAAAATATACAACTTATCCAAAGATCAGACACTAAGAACATTTATGGCTTCCATAGGGCAAGTCAGACATGTCATTAGCATATTTACAACTTTCAACCCATGTACAGCTGAGGCAGTTTTGTCTTTTTTTAAGTTTCCCACTAAGGCTCAGTCCTTTGTTTTTCAACGCTCCTCAAACACTCAGGGCTGCAGGAAGCGTTTGAGGTGCTCGAGGCCTGGGACACAGGCTCCCGCACTCTAAGGCTTCCTGTACGCTTGGATTTCCCGTAAGGTTATTAAAAAGCACTTAAGTACAATTGCTTGTAGATTGTGAATACCATGCAGACAACACAGCGATGCCCAGCAGCCTCACCCACATTAGACAGGACATAAAATGATAACACTCTGGGAGGGTCTTTTCAGAGATACAGGTTATTGGCCTAACTTACAAGCGTAGGGCCCAATATTTTTCCTACTGAAGCCAACTGCAAACTTTGCGCCGGCTTCCAAGAGAACAGGGCTGAATCCTGCCTTGAACACATCCATATCACTGATGAATTCCACGCTGATATTTTAAAGCAAGCAGGAAACCACCTCTTTTCTCGAGGCATGTGATTCACATACATACACAGTTAGGTACAGAGGGTTCATTAGGGTTCACAGCGCCCGTGATTTGAAAGGGCAATTTACACTGCCACGATGAACTGCTTTGCATAGATGATTTTTGAGAAGATGAAAGTGCAGAAATCTGGAAGGGAACGTGACAGTCGCAACATTTCTGCTTCCAGATAAGTTTGTTCTTTACATACACCATTAAAAACACAGTATTGCTACTGCACCATATCTACAATATATTAAAAAATATGTCTGAAAACAAGTGAATAAGAAACAGGAGGCTGCTCTTCCTGCCCGTGATCAGGGCCCAGTTCTGGAGGCTTGCTCTGAAGTACATCAAACTTTCCATGGACTTCACCAGATTTTGGAAAAAGTCTTAAGCATAAATACTGACTCCAGCTGAGCACTGCACCTTTATTCTTAAAACATCATCTCTCTCCAGAATTTCCCAGGGAGTTCCGCCCTTAAGGATTGCTGAATTTTGCAATGTTTCCTTCTTGAATTATGTGTAAAACTCCAAGGTTTTCTGCATACTCAGATGCAAACCAGATAGGGGGAAAGGATCATTTCAGAGCTCTCCATTTTCATTACCTGAGCTTGTGCTCTGTAAAATCAGAGCCTTGATGACAAGCCTCCAGGCCTCAAAAGATTAAAAGGAGAAATTCCCTCCTGCTTGACGTCTCAGCACTGTGTCCACCACACTTTTCCTTACACACAAGCCAGAGATAGCTTCCTCCTGTTGTGTGCAATCTAGCATGGGCAGCCTACCTCTTGCCACGTTATTAAAGCCCGGGGAGAAGCGTCATGGCTGCAATCATCTCCCCTGTTCTCCTTACATGGCTTTTCCAGGAGATTGCAAACCAACCGGCCACAGTATCTATTCTCCCAGAGACCCCAGTGAAGGGAGCTGCCACGGCATGGCTCCCCCCTTGCGGTTCATGAGCTGACTTTCCAAGCTCTTGTGCAAACACAGAAAGTATGCTAAAATATTATAATGGACCCATCGCTGTTTAATCCATTCTGGCCAACAGCGGAGTTGAATTCCATAGCTCAAAAGCAAGACGCTATACTAAATACTTCCTTGCCTTTGATAACAGCACTGGCAGATCCATAAGCCTCCTCTGTTGACCTGACAAGAAAGGAGCAGCAGTCCTAGCTGTGTCTTTCTGACTCAATTTGCATTGCCAGTGTATGCAGATCTCAGGAACTTCTTAAGAGATTCTCCTAAATAATACCAGGAGTGAGTGATTAACCCATAATATTATAATTTTCTCTCTCCCTGTCTCAGATTTCATAATTCTCAGCAGTAGAGCCAGGATTACTGAGCTCAGGAAGCAATACCGGAGAGTTGACAGCCTTTCTTCTTGGATACTTTTTTGCATCAGGGGTATTTCTCTGGGGCCCGCAGCCTCTCCTGCGGGAAAACATAACATGGTAGGCATGCCTTTTAGGTGCCAGAAAAGCATGTGGCAAATGCCTGGCTTCCTGACTGTGGTTTCTTATCACTCAGGCATCCCACTTTTAAAAAGAAGGTTCTTTAAGATTGGACATTTGGAGCTTTGACCATGTGGGAGAAGGGAAAACAAAATAGCCTCAAACTCGGATAACTTCCTGATTTCAAGAGAGCATTTCCTTATGCCCAGTACTCAATGGTGTTAGAAAACAAGGAGGGTCCTTCCCTCTGCAACAACCCTTCTTTTCCTCCTTTTAAACAGGACAGCCAGAAACTCAGGCTAGTCAATGCTGGCTCACCCACCTGCGCAGGTAGCGAACAGTGCGTAGCTGAGATCTCCCTGGAGGTATTCATTTGCTGCCCCTAGAGAACAGAACGGCTGGTGGGGTCCGTCCTTCTGATTTTACAGAGCCCGGTGCAAGGTAAGGAGGCCAAGAAAAATACAAAAGCTTCTACTTAACGGCATTTCTGACAAAAATGCTGTAGCTTCTCTTCAATCATTTTCTAAGCAACGTCTGAAAAATGAGCCAGAGAGTAAATATGCATGCCTTTTCTTTAAAAATCTTTCCGGCTTGCAAATCGCTCCCTATATCTAACTATACAACTATATACATCTTCATAGACATGTCTGGGGCCTGTTTCTGCAGTCCCTACACAAATAAAACACCCATCTCCTTGAATGGGAATTCTTCTCAAATAAATGGTGCAGGATTGGGCCTTTGGTGTGTATGTGTGAGTATCCTGCACACACATTTTTAAATCATTAAAAAAATATAGTAGCTATAGACTTATAACCAATCAAAATCTAAACACAGTAAAACTGCACTTATTACAGTATAGCCTAGGAGAAGTTACATTACTCATTTGTACGAAGCAAACAAAGGAAAGGAAATGTCTGTGACCCTGTTACAGTTTTGCTTATCCTTTTTCCTGTCCAAAAAGTCCACAAGGGGGATCTGCACAATTTCTTTCCAATATGAGGATGCTTCTTATGTGCTTTCCCATCCTTTTTAAGCTTCTCTTGCAACATATCAGACTCCTTTCAGTTACTTTTGTTCACCTCAATCAACGCAGTGAAGAAAAAACCTTACCAAAGAAAGTATCCTTAGCAAAGCAGCAGCAACAAAGCAATGCTGAAGTCACTGCTAGATCCTTACTCAGGCAGAATAAGAAGTAAGGGCTCTAGGTACAGGCTTCAGCGTCACTCCCACTATTATAAAGCTTAATGCACAGCAAGATGGCCATCCCACTGCGTCACATTGCTCTCTATATAGCACTTTCCTTACAGCACTTCATTATCAAAGCCCTTTGGACATTAACTTACACAACACGGCAAAGACAAAGATCTCTTTTGCATATTAAATCAAGGAAACCATTTCATCTACAAGCTCTTTCTTAGTGTGCTGCATATCTTACAGCTAGCTGATACGGAGCGATGCTCACGAACACACAGTACAACTCTAAGACTAAAAGCACGACAACACAAATATAAAAAGCTTAACCACAGGTCCCTCACCCACTTCTGGCTGGAATTTCCCAAGTAAGCTCCGACACTTTTACCAAGGACGTAGGCTGCTTTTAAAGTAATCAGACCTCTGGAGTCTAATGTAAAGCTACAGATATCTCGTGCTATCCATGTCCCTGCTGGTCAAGTAGGGACTTTGACATGGTGACCACCATGCTTCACTTCCTTTTTGATCACTTTATCCACAGTGTGAGCAATTTTCACAGTTGTCAACATAGCACAGAGACTTTTAAAGGAGCCTTGTGCATTCATGCATTATAAAATAAAAACCCAAGTCCTGACTGGATTTAAACCCTCTCCTGAAACGAAAAAGTATCCTTCATATAGGACCAGCACTTTAAACTTTAAAAGATCTTGTAATCTAAGAAAGACAAGACAAGGACTGGACAACAGTCCAAATGCTTTAGACTAAGAGCTTGTACTAGAAAACTCCACTCATTTATCTATGGCAGAACAGCTGGAACAGCAAACCTCACCCTCATGCATGCAGTCATACCAGCACGAAAGGGCATATACCAGTAGCCTGCTACACTGTCGTTCAGCAGCCAAAATAAACCGCAGCAGTATGTGATATCTTTTCTCCATCAGGATTTTGCCAGTTTAATTACATCAGGTGAAAAATGAAGCTTGACATAACTGATGGTAACTGGTAACTTTTTAAAGAATATACCGCCCTTTAATTGTCCTACCATAATAACATTCTCAAAACAAACAAATGCCACATTAAGACATCTGAGGTCTTGAGATGCCTAATTTTAAAATAAGCATCACAATCCAAACCATCAAATATATTCACTGTTTTTTAACTTCATTTCCTGTAAGTACTTGTCACAGATGCCTGAAAATGTTTACCTCAACCTGCACAACAGTCGATCAGCATTCAGATGCTCTTACAAAGCGTAACAAAGAAAGAGGAAAAGTTTTTACTATGCTATGCTGTGACATTTGAACACAAAAATCAATTCAGGAAATATAACTAAAGTAGTCTCCTTGCTATTCAGCCTGAGCAAAGCTTGCCGAAGTGGGAAGGAGCACAGTTCTTCAGCAGGGACTCCTGTCTGAAGCTGAGATGCTCACTGTAGGAGAAAGCACACACATTGCTTGTGTGTTAGCTAGAAGAAAAGTATTACCAACTATGAGAAAGAAAACACCATCAGCAGAGGAGACCAGAAGTATGAGACCCGGGAAGGAATCAAAAAGAAGCTCTAAAACAATCACACGCCATGCTCAACAGAGTTACCTTTTGCTGGGAATGGGAGTATAACATTCTCTCCTACCTTTGCTGAAAAAATTCATAAAGTGATCTAGTTTATTCCTATCACATCTAACTGCAATTTTTCACCAATACTTTGTGAAATTACAGAATAAAGACCTCAAGTTATACACTTGCCATTAGAACTATAATGCTAAATAAGATTTTCAAAAACCCAAATGCCAGACAGCAGTACTTTCCATAAAATCTAGCAACGCCCCAAGATATTCAATTCAGGAACCTGTCAAAGCGTCAGTCAAATTCAGGAGGTCAAACAGTCTATGCTAAAATTCTCCACCACCGATTCTTCTCAAAAGTTTGGTGCTTTTTCTCAAAGTGAAATGATACCTATATTAATGTGCTCTGTATATCGCTAAACCTATTGGAAATGTGCTTCTTATCCGACTTACTTTCCAGGGCAGTGCATATCCTGGGACAGTGGAGTTATGCTTCACCCACACTGTTACAGACCCCACTCTGCTAGCAGGAAAGATGCTGGTTTCCTAGATCCTATGGGATGCAATGCCTTGAGGAAATTTATATCAAACAATTATTGCATAATTTCAGGGTGTAATAAAACCTCTTACACCATACACAGGCATTGAGTTCCCTTTGCACTTTTGTGTCAGAGGAAGAACTGTCCTTGTCAACAGCAACTGCAGGTCCCTGTATGAACCCGCAGGATCCCCTTGCTGTGCATGTGCAGAAAGTTGAAGATTTCTGAGGGCATCGCATGAAAACCAGGGCGAGGTTTGACATTGTCATAGTAGTGGTGAGTTATAAAAATCCCTGAGGGGTTCATAGGGAAGGCCCAAAAGCCAAAAAGGTGGACCTCTTCACAGAGCTCCAGGGCAGCAGTCACCAGGATCAGTCCCGTGCTAATCCGCTTGGCCCGCACCCCTAGACCGAGCCAGTAGCGCGAGACGTTGATGAGATACTGGGGATGAAAGTAGTAAACAGCTTGCTGAGATTCAAAATCGTCCAGGACGTATTTGACGCGGATCGAGACGTCTGTGTTGCGAGTGTTGTAGAAAGCCGGCAGCAACACAGAAGCATTTTCGTAGACTTGGAGCACATCATAGAAAGGTTTCCTCCACTTCTCCAGCTTATGGAATCTGAACGGAAAAGGATGCAAGCGAGGGTCAGGCCAGCGCGAACTTCACTTTTGACCCAACAGACAAGAAACTTCCACTGGCTTTCTACAAAACATTTCTGATGCAGAGGTAATAGAAATGATGTTTCAATTAAGAACAGGAATATGCTTTGATTTCTAGCTAAAAGAAAGCATCAGCATGAAATGTAGGGCAAAAATGCAGCGGGAGAAAAAATACATTCTTCTCCCCTATTTTGGCAGTACACTCATTGAACGCTGGACGAACTTTGTAGACATTTCTGGCCCTTTTTCATCTCTCATTTTATTATCAAAAGCATGCAATTTTTCCAAGGTTTGACCAGCTTTATTGTGCACTTCACAGTGCAGGACAATATAAAAAAGTAGCAAACATCAAAGCCGAGCAAAATGTCCACCCGCAGCATTTAAAAGAAAACTGTCATGCAAGTACTAGTTAGCTTCAGGCACACTGGAAGGCACAGGGATCCATCCAGTTTCAGTGTCTGGTTTTGCCTGCTCCGGGACATAGCCTTCAGCTTAGCCCTTCTGGTGCCCTGAGGCCACAATGCTCGACCTGTAATAGCCTGGAGCCTCTGGGTCTTGCACGCATCCAGAAAATAGAGTAGTATGCAGGTATTAAACATTTTTAAATGAAAATCACTCTGTCAATCCTAGCTACAAAGGTTAACCAGCATTTTTTAAAAACGCACGACAACGCGCGTGTTCCTTTTTCAAGCATTTAGAATGGGATCCAGTTGTTTTCAAGCTAACGCATCCAAGACATTAGCATGGGGCTTGCAGGCCTGAGAACACAGAACTTCCAGGGGAAGGATGGCTCTGCTAGTATGATTTCTGCTCATCAGCCTCCAGCCTTCTATTATCAGTGTACAGGTCTAAGTGTTTAAGGCATTTCTATAGGTTGTTACCAACTCCTTATACTGAATAATTTCAATCTAGAGCAAAATATACAATTAACAGTGCCAGTTTTAAGCAACATTGAAAAAGGCTTCTCTGTAAGAGTTAGAATTTAGTGAAAGGTAGATTTGGAAAAGCAACAGGAGATGAAAACACAAGAAACAGAGAAATGACCTTTCAGTAATTATACTGGGATTGACAGTCACGACATCCGTCTTTACCCCCACGTCCGTAATGTATTTCTCAGATATAGGAGGCAAATTGCACCTATAAAGGAAAGAAACGAGTAAGAAAGTTAAACAATTTCTTGCACCTTTTCAAGACTAGAAAGTAGAACTGATTTAAGCATTTCTTCCAAGCTATGAACAGTTTGCAGATTTAAATTTGTATCAAAACACATTGATGCCCGAATTGTGTATTAAAGTAACACATTCTTAGGGGCTGTAGGAAGACCACCGATCTTCCCTGTCAAAGCTGACCCCTTTTGCAGATATAGCCAATGTACATTCATTTTGCTTCCCTAATAGCCATTCAACTATTTAATTTGGCAATTTACTACCAGGAAAGTTGGGAAGAAACCCCAAGGACAATCAAACTCTGAAATCAAAGACTTCCTCAACATCACCTGTTAGGTTGTATTCGGTAGCTAACAGATAAACTACATCTATAACATCACTTTTGCTACGCTTTATTCTATAACCTAGTGCATTTATGGGAAGTGCTCCGTGAGAACTAAACCAGTCCAGTTCCCTAATTAAACCAAAACAATTTGCTTCCCTGCTTTTCCCCGTATAAGTTGCTCCTAGCGCAGTATGAAAGCTGCAATTCTGACTATACAGCTGCGCCAAAGGATGTCAACATTATTAGGAGCAAACTTGTGAATGTATGCAACCCACACCTGAATCACAAATCTCAAAAATACTACCATGCCTAATTCCCAAACACCTCAATACTTTTCTTTAGGGATGAACAGCAGAGAACTGTGAAGACACTTAGAATAAGCAATGCTCAGTGTTTTCACAATATTACAGTTTGGTTCCCAGGCCTTAAAATACAATTCCTCCACTCCTAGGAGGAGGTGAGTGGGGAAGCGGAGGAAGACAGAAAAATCCTTCAAAATCCTTCTCAGACTCAGGAGATTCACATCTACCTCCCAGAGAGTCCTTCTTTTTTAGGTCAGAGAATTTTTTTAAACCACCTTGTCCTTCTCAGGGGCAAGATTATTTCCGGTACTTTTCTCTGCTAGGTCATGCAACGTTCTTTCAACGTAGTTACACCTAGCATCAGGCACTGGAATCATTATATTGCATTCAAAAAAGGTTTTCAAATATTCAGCATCAGTATTTATTAAACACTCAACTCACAACAAGACTAAGAAAGGGCAAATTCATTGAAAGTGACCATTTATTATGAAAGTTATACAATCTGCACAAACTGTACTTTTTTCTTAGGACTCAAAAAAGTTCATCCGTGCAAAGAGAGTAGTTGCGTCTCCAAATTACCCAATGTTTCATCATAAATCTCCACTCTGGCCAGCAGATGGAGATAGAAAATAACAACTAGTAAATGCAACTTATGTGTATGCATTTTATACATTCTATTGCAATATAATTAATCGCTATCAGCATTTGTTCTATAGAAAAATCTTCATTGCATCCTACTAACCACTAGCTTCCTGCCAATATTAAAGGGCTTACACAAGCATCCCGAGAGTATCGATGAATTTAGCTGTGCTCCACAGACTGCTTTTGAAGTATTTTAAAGAACCATTTTGTCAGCAGCTAAGATGCTGCTTCCCAACAGTTTGGTGAACTGGTGTCAAACTAGAAAGTGGATCTGTTCACAACTGTCCTTAAACATGAGCTTGACTTTAAAACTGATGTTAGCAGACCTGAAGTCCTTGCACGCTAATGTGGCTTTGTGCATAACGCTGGTCCTACGTGTTTTGTAAATGGTGAATCAGGTTTTTTTGCACACATACCGATGTATTATTCATATTTCGATTCTACTTAAGCCTCTGTTTGACACATTCACACGACACACATGAATTACCGGTATTAAAAGCAACCTATTTTATGCTCTGTATTGATCTAATCTGCTCTCTTTAATCAGGTGTGGTACAGCCCAAGAGAAACTAATAAAAGGGTAACAAGGTGACCACCACTGAAAGTTGCTAGACATAAGTGATGACATTTGCTGCCCCTATGTCCACTTCCACGCAACAGTTTGTCACCTCCATGTGTGGCAAAACGTACCTTTCATTTCAACCACACTGATAGCTGTGATCCAGTATAGCAGACGGGAATCTACTACACTGATTTAATGTATATAACTTCTACTAGGCTTTTAAACTAAAGTAAACTATGTCAAGCCTGGACTGTGCTACAGATTAAAATTAGGACACAAGCTTTATATAAAGAGGGCCCCAGAGGTGGACACAAAGGGCCTGAAAATATAAATAGTGAAGGTAGGACCTAAAAAATATTCTTACTTCTCATTTGATGCCTAATTAAATTAAGAAAGCAATGAGCCAAAATCTGACCTAATTCCTGCTAGTATGAAATCAGAGAAATTCACTGATCTATGTACAGTTACTCTAGACTTACGACAATGTACCTAAGGTCAGAAAATGGGCCAACAGAAGTAAAAGATTTTTCATTTTTTACAAAACACATCATGAACCTGTGAGCTGGCTGTCATATGCCATGACCCAGGCAAAGAGCTTAACAGGTTTCAGAGAGAGATTACGTATGCATGTGAATAATAATAACATCTTTCCTGTATATCTTAAGGATGATAAAAGTCCATAATCTGGTGACACAAGTGGGACATCCCAGACAACACAAAACCTCAATAATACCAGACGTGGTGGGAAGAACAGCAGAAAGATATCCAACCTCAGGTGTCTCTGAACACCCTGGAGCCTACAGACTGATTAGTACAACCCTCAACGGCAGTACTGAGCTGGCTTTCTGCAGCCACTGTCTTCCTTATCTGAGCTAATTAACCTTATTGAACTTGGGAAGTATAACATGGAGATACCCTCTACAACCTTCCAGTTTTTTCTCAGTCCGAGGAGCTACTGTCCTCCTGAGTCTGGGCTTATGCTGCCAGATACAGAAAGGGACAGCGCTGAGCCTGATTTAATAAATAATCTGGGACTTGTGCTATGCAACCACAGTGACAGCACCACTTCAGAAACACAGGTCCAAGGCACATGTGTTGTGCCCGAAAGGAGTTTTTAAGGTCTGGCCAAGTTGTGTGCCACACAAAAGAGGAGAAAAATGCCCTGGGAAAATATAGCCATGTTCACATGGCACTGCTCCTGGGCTAATGTCCACAGAATGATAAACCCACAACCTGAATAACAGTGCAGGCTGAATAAGAGCATTAAACTTTGGGACATAACTCAATGATTAATCAAGTGGAGTTAGGGACAAATACGCCCCCAAAGCATCATTTTTAAATACCTATCATACAATGGGGTGTTTTTTCAAAACATTTCATTTTGCGCAAGAAGCAGACTATCGATTTGGCCAGTTCGGCAAATCCCATGTTTCAGTGCGAGAGAGAATAGCTTTACAATCCTTTATTTGTGGTGATTACCGAAACACGAAGTCTGCACTGTCAATCTCCCGGCCACATCTGCTGTTCTTCAAAATTCCTCCGTTCCCAACCACCGCACATTTCTTAAACTGGGAGCGGTGGTATGGCATATCCTGCAACATAACAGCAAGGAAACAGTCAGGTCTTGAAACAGAGAGGCAACAAGTCTTCCCCCTTTTTTTATTTTTTGGTGCAGCTGTACCTTGGATAAAAAGCCTGTGGATGCAGTAATCAAAGGAAGCTGTCACTGGTTCTGGCATGCAGTACTCTCATGGTACACATGAACTGATGGGATTATTTTCTTTGCAATTAGAGATGCTATAGCCAACTAATTCAGAGGGAAAAAAACAATGACCTTTTTTTGTCCACGCTTCATAATAGAAGAAGCAATTTTAGAGACTTGCTTTCCCTTCTGATTTCCATATAGGGGCATAAACCATAAAATTAGTGTAGCCCAGGTGTAGCCTTCTGAGTTGCCTGCAAGCTGTTCACTCCTCAGGCTGACGTCCTGCTTTTGAGAAGTCTGTACACAGTCCCTGAGCAGCTTGTAAAGCCCAAGAGGTCTCTCTAAATCAGACAGAATATTACAGGTATTTATCAGAACCTAGCTCAAATTCTAGTGCTTGCTACCCATGCCTCACCAACTGTGCTAACAGCATTAGTGATTTTTAATTAGCACTTGTACTACCAGCAGCACCTAGCACCTTTGGTCAGGTACCTCTGCAGGCTTAGAGAGGACGAATCCTTCTGTAATCTGTGGGGCAAAATTTTGTCTTCAAACACACGCGTGCAGCTGCTGATAAAGCCAGACAGAGCTATAATCGCAAAACTGAGAACAGAACTGGGCCGTTAGAGTGAGAGGGTTATGATGCAAAACTGAGTCGAGCTACACCTTATGAATATGTAAAGAAGTGCTTATATAAGCACGAGAGCACTCCTTTTGGTACATACATATTTTATCAATAATTTTATACCGCAAACTACAGGGAGATGCAATTGTGGCATGACATTTCTGGGTGATTCTTCCCAGAATCCTTTCACAGCATTCGTTAGACACTAGGCAAGAGGACATGCAATTACACCTATTTGAGAAAAGCAATAGCTCTCTGACAGAAAGGCATTATAAACCCATCTGTGCTTTATCAAGGGGTTCCTTAGTACAAAATGCCTAGGCACTCCTGACAGGGGGATCAGAAACCAGGTCCCCCACACTAATCACAGGGCTCTTGCCGTTACAGTCTTGCTCACTCTCTTTCGGCCCTGTGTCTCCAACACCTGCTGTGCAGCAGTCTGGCTCCAGCTAGGCAGAGGGTGGCTTTGGCCACATAACTGCTGCCCAATGAATCCTAAAGGCACTTAGGCATGGGATAGATGCTGCAAAGTATCCTCAAGGCATATCTGCATAACTACAACAGCACTTATGGGATGCTCCCAGCAAAAGCATAGGCACCCTTAGTCTGTCATGCACCTGCGCAATTAGGTAAGGTTTTTGAGGACTCTCCTGGACTATGGACTACGCCATTTTAAATTCATGAGGTGCGCCTCACGATAAATCAGTAGTCATAAAAGCCCATTTCTGCACATAAATCACATTGTGTAATGGGAATTGCTCACTGCTTGAAGCATTTACACTTTGAACAGCCATCAGGTCAAGGATTATTTGCTGAAAATCTTTGGAATAACCTTTATGATGAATATATTTAAGATTTCCACAGCCTGTTCACAGAGAAGCTGCAAACAGAAATAAGGATAAAAATAGTCAGTCATCGTGAATGTGAATTATAAAATGGTCATGCCACAAAAAGACAGGCCTACCCAAAATGTTGAACTTAACGTATCTAGATGAGACCTTAACAACTTCTGGTGAGTAAGTGCCTTTTTTATTCATATTTCTTAAGTTATTTCAATCGCCACTTTGTTGTTTGGTCAATAATATTCTTCAGAGAAATGCATACTGGAGCAGATGATCGCTAGAAAGTAGGATAATCATTGGAATATCATATGGAAAATAAACATATTCACAGTATAAGCAATGATGCTTGCAGGAATGTCAAACAGTGAACTGCTAAGTGCTTGCCTACAGGACTTTTATCTAATGCAGCAAGTAGAGTGAAGGTGATTCTGCAAATAGATACAGGCATGAAGCACCTTTGGAAACATTTTGAAGATTTCCTGGTTGATATGGAAGATTCCACTCGTATCCACTTCATACTTCAGTTTAGTCCCCAAGGGAGTATTTTTCTGGGTGGTGAACAGAAAGGTGGGGGCATTGCAACACCTTGACAAAGTAGACCTGTAAAACAAAAAAGAGATGACTAAAAGGAGCTGATAACAAGCTTTAGGAGTTGCAATCAGTATTGAAAACACCTCTGAACTGCAGCTGGCAAGGCATTTTCTGTCAAAACTTCTTTTTAATTGTGCAAGAGGTAAAATGGCGATGAACCAGAAGAGACGAGACCTCTTTAACTGGCACTGCTCTCGGCTGCAGGAAATGCATGTGCAAACCCTGCTCTGCTCCAGCCCACAAAGCTGAGCTTCTTCCATACCCTGGGGAAACCATCCTAATGAATTGGGCTCTCTCTGCTTTAGAGGTCTTGCACTTTTATAAATCATTCACCAGGCACTGGGCAGGAAACCTGTGGGGATCTGGAAGCCTGTTAGGGCAGGGACTTAAACACAGCAATACCTAAAGATACTACCCACCTACCAGTCTACGTGGAGCATGGCACACCTTGATTGCAAAAGACTTCTAAAGGCCTTGGTTTTGTCCTTGAGCTTGCATATCCCCATAAGGGGGATGATATGGCCCAGACAGACAGGTGTCAGGGAGATTGGTCAGAGCTACACTCCAAAATCTCAGACAAATAGCCCAAATTTTCGTTCTCACTAGAATAAAATGGCAGGTATTTCAATGGAAACACAAAGAGTTTTGAAATCTCAAAAATGGGATTAACAGGATGAGAGAAAACCCATTCAGCTCTGATCCCTTTACCACAAGTTTCATATGAAACCTAAATAGGAAGAGCAGCTTGCCAATTAGGGGTCCATTCCTTAGCTCCCATCTTTCCCTGAATGCCTTTCTACTTTTACTGCTGGAACCAAAAGCCCTGACTTAATCCCACTCTTACTCCATTGCCAGTTTGTTTCTCAGCCAATACATCTTATACCTTTAATGAAAAATACATGTTGCAGCATGAACCTGAAGACAAAGCCAAATGGCTCTCAAATACCCTACATTAAATACTTTGCCTCTAGAGTATGTGGCCTTGTTATGAGTTGGAAAAATAAATCAGTGCTTTTTATGTATTTTATTACAAGCATCACAAAGGAAATACAGAATTATATAAACATTTCAGTGATGTCCAACTACTATTATATACTTGACTCATGGAAAATGACGCAATATGATGATCAGATCAAGGCAGCAATAGATATTGAATGAACTGATGAATAATTTCAAATAACTAAATCATTAAATAACTAAGAGCAAGTAATGGAATTGCACTGTGAAGTCTGTCTGAGATTTGAAAAAACTCTTCTTCGTTAGTTCTGCATTAAGGTATTGCAAGAGGTGCTGTTCTTTAATCTAACATCCAACTAATTTTCCACAGGCACATTCCTTAAGGTGAATGTCTGATCTCTCATGGAGGAAGATTGTTCAGGAAATTGTTCTCCTTTCTCTAAAGTTACAAGAGTTAGCGTGTTTTTCCTGCTTCATCCCTCCCTGCTGCTTATGTAGCTGCCTTTTAACTTTCCTGGCTTCCTTGCATCTTACGTGAGGCCCAGAGCTGGCACAGTCCAAAAGCACACAGCTCAGCGCTGTTATACCACTTCCTTTTAACTTTGCGGCACCTACTAGACTAATTCCAAACTTGGAGACTTCTGTCTGCTTTTAAGGGACTGCAGATTCTCCACAAGTTCACACACTGATGTTGCTGTCCCTAAAGACAAAAATGAAACAGACTCTGAATGTCCTTGCTTTCTTGATTCACATGACTATTCTTCATAGAATCAGCTAATGAAGGTTTGGATACATGCAGATGCTGGTGGGAGTTTCTTAGGCAGTGATAGATCAACCAGGCTGGTATAGCCAGTGACAAGATTATTTCATCTCTTCTCTCTCTCAGTGCTCTGAGTAGGATGGAAGGGGGTGCTTTGCTTAAAGTGCTGGTGTTGGTGGTCAGTGCTGGTGACCTAAGAGAGAGTGATAGTCCTCCAGGTGGTCTTAGATAATCATTTCTTATCACTCCCCCTCCAGGCTGAGCTGCATACTTCAGCGTGCTCCTTGCACTCTGGACACAGTCATTAAGACCCAGTCCTCTCACTCCAACCAGTCTTTAAGCCTTGCGCCATGATAGCTCTAATCCTGAAAGCTCATCTTGCAAAATGGACTGATAGTTGCCTGTCAAATATTTTCCAGGAAAAAGGTGATCAGGAGTAGTCAGCATGGATTCACCAAAGGGAAATCATGCTTAACCAACTTGATAGCCTTCTATGATGGAACAACTGGCTGGGTAGATGAGGGCAGAGCAGTGGATGTTGTCTACCTGGACTTCAGCAAGGCTTTGGACACTGTCTCCCATAGCAGCCTCATAAGCAAGCTCAGGAAGTGTGGGCTGGATGAGTGGATGGTGAGGTGAATTGAGAGCTGGCTGAATGGCAGAGCTCAGAGGGTTGTGATCAGTGGCGCAGAGTCTAGTTGGAGGCCTGTAGCTAGCGGTGCCCCCCAGGGGTCAGTCCTGGGTCCAGTCTTGTTCAATATATTCATCAATGACCTGGAGGAAGGGACAGAGTGCACCCTCAGCAAGTTTGCTGATGATACTAAACTGGGGGGAGAGGCTAACACACCAGAAGACTGTGCTGCCCTTCAGAGGGACCTGGACAGGCTGGAGAG